GTTTCCCGCCAATCATTCGTTTAATTGTCACCGCTGCTAATTTTCTGTTCATTTAAAGGAGTAGTTCACTTTTCAAAAAACTTTTGCTGATAATTTACTCACCCCCATGTCATCCAAGATGTCCATGTCTTTCTTTCTTCAGTCGAAAAGAAATTAAGGTTTTGCACGTTCGTGACTCTACTGTTCGAACTCGTTCATCAAAATGAACAAATCTTTTTTCAACGAGTCAGTTCGTTCGTTTCGTTCTTTGAATGAACCAAATGACTCAGAAAAAGATTTGTTCATTTTGATGAACGAGTTCGAACGGGAGAGTCACACAGAACAGAGCAAGGCGAGCATTTGAGCTTATAAAACTTAAACTTTGTTATTTATTTATATTTATTATTTATTGTTTCGCTTGATAAGACCCTTATTCATCGTCTGGAATCGTTTAAAGCCCTTTGAACGGTTTGCAGTTTGTACAGAAAGTGTCTTTTGGACCTTGAACCGTTTGGACCCCATTGAAGTCCATTATATGGAGAAAATCCTGGAATGTTTTCATCAAAAACCTTAATTTCTTTTCGACTGAAGAAAGAAAGACATGGACATCTTGGATGACATGGGGGTGAGTAAATTATCAGCAAAAGTTTTTTGAAAAGTGAACAACTCCTTTGTTTGTATCCCTCATTGTCTGGGATTGTTTATGCGTAGCACACTGTTTCATGTTGTTTTTCCTTAAGCTGTTATTCTGCCTTTGACCAGGGATTGTAACACAAATGTTTTTAAGATTACGGGAAACACAAGTTCAGTAAAGTGTGTCCAGACTTTTGTGTGCTAGCTGAAACTTGACCTATGAATCTGGCTCTTTTTACAGTAGAGTTGAAGGCGTTGAGACGCACCATGGGCAGGAATGCAAGTACAGGTGTTTTTCTGCGTCTCGGGACACTTAATGCTTCTTTAACGAGCGCTTCATTCAGTGCAGCTCAGAGGCGAAGAATGCCTCTCTGTCTTCACACACTCCTTATCTCAGTGCCTGTGTGTGTGTGGTGTTCACAGTCAGTTTCTTTCACAAGCACAGGTATTCAGGCACTATCTCAGTAGTGTCACTCTCAATGGGATTTCAGATTACCCAGCTCACAATATAATGTGTGTCTTAGTCCAGGAATTCTGCTCAAAAACACAGATATAGTTACATAGCAGAGAATGTGTGATGATGATGATACATGCTGCTTTGCTTCATCTGATTTTTGAGTTTCTAATCTACTTTAAAACATAGGCTAATCAGTTAAACATTTGCTGTTGCAGGGGTCTTCAACGTGTTTCAGGTCAATGTCTCTGGGTAGTTTAAATTATTAATTTGTAAACATATTTTTTATCTCTCTATATATATATGGTGTAATGGTATACAGAAGTCACGGTTCAGTACGTACTTTAGTTTTGGGGTCACGGTTCGATACGAGATCGGTACATTTACATGCCTGATTGCTTAAAGGTGCTATATGTATTTTTTAGCGGCCTCTATCGGTGATGTTTCAGATTGCAACCAATTTTTACAAGAGCGCTCATGTACATGGCCTTTACACACTTTACACACCGGAGAAAGCGTCACACAACATGCTGGAAACTCATTTAAACTCCCACTGCAACGTTACAATAATAGTCTACTGTTATCAGCTTGACTGAACTAACACTCCATGCTCGTACCATGATAACGTTACATTTGTGCTGTTAAAAGGTTAATTAGTTAACATTAGTTAACTAAATTAGTTAGCATGAACAAATAATGAACAGAACTTATACAGCATTTATTAATCTTTGTAAACGTTAATTTCAATATTTACTAATACTTTATTAAAATCTTGTTAACATTAGTTGATGCGCTGTGAACTAACTTGTACAAACAACGAACAGCTTTATTAACATCAACGAACATTAACAAATACTGTAACAAATGTATTGCTCATGGTTAGTTCATGTTAGTTAATACATTAACTAATATTAACTAATGAACCTTATTGTAAAGTGTTACCGATATTTCACTAAATATTCGTGTATCTTTCACAATCGGCAATGTCAACATCGGTGAATGTATAATATGTAGGGGTGTAACAATATATCATGCCACAATATATCGCAATACAAAAATACTACAATACGTATCGTGGATAGTCCCCCCAAAATAAAAATTACTATGTGAAAAAAAATTCAAGTTTTAGAGTTTTAGTGTAAGTATACATTAAACTACTATATTATAATGTTGCATATAATGTATAATAATGCAATGGGGGAATATTTGTGGGTCCTAATAATGCCAAATGTCTGATGTTACAAGTAAAAAGTGACATTTTTTTAAATATATCTAGTCACTGAAAGAGTGGAAGCATATTAATCTAAGATAATTCTGTATTTTCAGCTTCAGAATCATAAATATTGTTATTCTGGTGTGACCGCTGTCTGGGTTACAAGCACCAAGTCCAAACCTATTCATTTAAACCCACAATGTAATATCAAATTTAGCATTTAGCATTTTTTTTGTTAACCTTTTACCATATGTCTTGGAGTATCGCAATAATATCGTATCGTGAGTTCAGTATCATAATATGTATCGAATCGTGACATGAGGGTATCGTTACATCCCTAATAATATGATAACGGAAACGGTTAGTGAACTAGACTGAACAATTTCAGTGTGACAGTAAGATCGTAGGAAGTAACATTATGTACTGAACGTGTCTGGAAATGTGTATTATAAACAATATGATAGTAGTGGATGAGTGACGTTAGACAGTAGATCTGGTACAGAAAATAAAAGTTACATCTTAAAGCACTGACTTTTTGTTGTCCTAGAACAGTGATCATTTCATGTCTCATATATGTTGTAGTTTACCTTGCTATATCAATACAGTTTACTATTATTTCAGCATATCTGAAAACTTGTAATTTATCACAATAAAAATAGCGGAGGTCTCTCCATAATTCAAACGCTCTGCCGATGTTGATCCGTGTTTTGGTCTGGAGTCGATCCAATTCACGTTTGGCGTGACGAGCTTCAGCAGATAAAGTTTTGCTTTGTCTTTTATATTTATGTGGAGTTTGTGTTGGAGTGTGTGTGTTATGCTGGAGGCAGGAGTGTTTTGGTGTTATCAGACTCATGTCGTCAGCTGCAGTGCCGTCTCATAGGCCTCGTTTACACTGCATGGTTCAAGTGACCCAAATCCGATTTTTTTCCTCTCATGTGGCACAGATCGGATATGACCGGTGAACGTGTAATGGCTCTTTCAGACTGCACGATTTTCAAAGTAGTCAGGTCGCTGCTCTTTTCACACTGCATGACTATCTTGGCCAGCATTCAGTCGCTGCTGTGTTCACACTGGACGATGGATCGGCGACAGAAGGTTTCACACTGCATGACTTTAGAAAAATCGCCGACAGACTCTGTCTAGCACGCTGCGCGCAAACTACGTTTCACAACAAACACACGTGAGATGTGAAAAGGAAACAACGCGACACCACACGTGCAAGACCGGAGTTCTCACGTGAGACTTTTTTTTTCGACCCGGTTGTGGTACAGCTGGTGAAACAGACACGAGTGCTCCTGCCAAATTTCTACTAATTTTTCTTCCATTTATTGTGTCCAAATAGACCGAGAAGAAGCTTTTTTTGTTGAAACAATGCCATATCATGTTGATATGTGATCTATAACTCCTCCCCAAACTCCCTGCTGCTCTGTATCTTGCTCTCTCACTGGCTGCCGGTGATCGCCGATGTAGTTTTCAGTCAAAACACTTTTCACACAGCAGGATTTTGAATCGCCGACAGGTCCAGATATTTAGCATGCCAAATATCTCACGGGCGTCGGCGACTCGTCGGTGATTCTCTCAGTTCGCGTCTTTGTTCATTCACACTGCGTGATTGTCACTCGCGTGAACGAGCGCCGATTTGCCTGTGATTTCGGGCATTTGTCGGCGATTTCTCAAAACCTGTCGGCGAGCCAAAATCGTGGCTAAAATCATGCAGTCTGAACTCGGCATAAGCAGAAAAAAAAAGCATGGATTCCGATTTTCTCAGATCGGATTCAGGCCTCATTCATATGTGGTAATAAATCGGATATGAATCAGATATGTGCATTTGCGTGTGCCATGTAAGCAGACAAATCGGATATTCCCCGGTAAAGAGAGTCGTACGTCATTAAAAAGTGCGCGATTACAGGCGCGATGGAAGAAAGGATACACACAGTGGAGCAATGCGGAGGTTTCATGTCTTTTGAGTGTTTGGGGCGAAGAGTGCAGGCAAAAATACAGGGTTGTTACAGAAATAAATCCGTTTTTGAAGACATTTCACGAGATATGAGGCATCGTTTTAAGGAGGCCTCTCCTCTTTTTTCTCCGCTGTACGAGACCAATGTTTTAATGACTTACTGAAATATTGTGGAAAGAAAACACAGGATAATTTTATTCGCATCTGCATCCATTGAATTTTGTGCTGTTTTGCTTAATTTCCCGGGTCAGAACGTCTGCATTTGGTAGTTTCAGCAGTGTATAGTGTAAATGCAAAAATTGGACATGGGTCACTTTTAAAAGATGATGTAGGCAGATCGTCAAAAAAATCAGATATTGTCAGAAAATCGGATTTGGGCATCAAGACCTGCAGTGTAAATGCAGCCTTAGACTATATATAAATGAGAGCGAGCGCGCATGCACGTCACATCCGATGGATTTCGCAGAAAATCCGACTGGGAGACTTCACATAGAAATAGGAATACGGGCCTTCAGAGGTAATAGCAAAACCCGGCAAGTGGATCATTGTAATGTGTGATTACAACCCCTTCACACACAGGCAATAAAAAAATGATTCATTTTAGAAAGAAAAGTTACATATAGCACCTTTAAAGCAAAAAAATTAAGGACTTGATTGACCTCGTCTAAACATTTCTGATTAGATAAAAAGCACAGGACAGTCTGTTTTGCCCTGATGTTCACTTGTGTTGAGGGTCCAGGATTAGCAGTGTATTTCTGACGCACCTTTACAGACGACACCGGCTCCACTCCATGTACCGTTCTCCTGGCACACGCGTGTCCCCGATCCCATCAAGCGATAACCCTGAGAACACGTGAAATGAACCTCGTGACCCACCAGGTGCTTCGAGCCAAACTTTCTGCCGTGGGCCGGAGCCACCAGAGCTGGGCATGAGAACTGGGCTAGAGATGAAAAGACAGGAGAAAGAGACATAAAGAGAGGAGGAATGTCAGAGAAGGGAAAGGTTACACGAGGGATGAAAGTCACGCATGCTGAAATGTTGAGATATTTTGCCTGAAGGCAGGCACATCTAACTGAATGTGGGAACCGTCATGGGAAAAGATTCATGGGAAATGCCTCATTTCATACAGACAGCTTACGAATACATGAACAATACCACATGGACCATGCAGAAAAACAAGAGCTGGTTCTTGTCGTTTGTTTAAGCCTATTAGAAGTGAACATGAAATCAAAGTTGACTTAAAGGAGTAGTTCACTTTTAAAAAAAAAACTTTTGCTGATAATTTACTCACCCCCATGTCGTCCAAGATGTCCATGTCTTTCTTTCTTCAGTCGAAAAGAAATTAAGGTTTTTGATGAAAACATTCCAGGATTTTCTCCATATAATGGACTTCAATGGGGTCCAAACGGTTCAAGGTCCAAATGAGAGTTTCAGTGCAGCTTTAAACGACACCAGACGATAAATAAGAGTCTTATCTAGGACCCTTCGAGTCATTACTCGAAAAAAGATTCGTTCATTTTGATGAACGAGTTTGAACAAGAGAGTCACGAACGCTCATCACAGAACAGAGCAAGGCGAGCATTTGTGCTTATAAAACTTAAACTTTTTTATATATTTTTGAAATTACCGATGGTTTCGCTAGATAAGACCCTTATTCATCGTCTGGTGTTGTTTAAAGCTCTTTAAAGCTGCACTGAAACTCTCATTTAGACCTTGAACCATTTGGACCCCATTGAAGTCCATTATATGGAGAAAATCCTGGAATGTTTTCATCAAAAACCTTAATTTCTTTTCGACTGAAGAAAGAAAGACATAAATTATGAGTAAATTATCAGCAAAAGTTTTTTTTTTAAAGTGAACTACTCCTTTAAAAAATGTCGGCCTTATTGTGCACAATTCATGCACAAAAAACAACAACAATAGTTTGCTTTTGTACATAAAAATGCTATAATTTGCTTCTGAACTTGCAACTTTAAATCATTAAAGCCAATGATATTATGGTTAACTAATAGTAAACTAATATACTAGTAAACTAATATAACTAATAGTAAACTAATATGAAGAAAATAAAATAACACTGATCTCAAACCTGCTCTACAATATATTTAATTTAATACTTTGTTTCATTTCAAAACATGCCACAACATGAAAATAAAAAATATTGTTGGTTTTAAACTTTTTAAAAATCCACATTAAAACCATTGTCCATTCCTGTAAATTTAGTTACTTGTGTAATATGTGAGACGAAACAACTAAAGCATGTTGGATTATTGATTTTTATTTTTTTTAAATGTTGGGAGTAAAAAAAAATCCAAGCAACAGTAAGCATCTTTTTAAAAGGGATTGTTTTTGTCAAGTCCGACAAATGCATAATCCTGTCAAATCAGCGCATAAATGTAAAAGATGATCAGTAGTTTGTCACAGAATCTACATCATTCTGTCCTGTCAAGCACCGGCTGCTACAAACGCCAAAGTAATTCTTGATCATGCCTGTCGCCAACCCCGGTTCATGAAATGTGCATCAGCGTCAGCCAAATGACACAGTCTCACATCCGACCCATTCACATTATCCGTAGAGTAATCCAGACCTGAAGAACCAGCCAGACCACTCATTTGAAGGAAGGAAGTCATTTCATGCTTATAAAATACTCATAGATTTCGAGAGGATTTGCTGGAATTGTGTAGCCTTTCAACTCGTTTATTAGGATTAATAAATCCTCTTTGCCAGAATTACTGTCCAAAAACATGTTTTTTTATTGGCTGAATAGTTTTATCGCCAACTAACACACGCTCTTTCGTTCAAAACACACATTTGCATGGGGAAATGTTTGACTAAAGACCCTTCTGTGTAACTCGTTCATTTTCCTGATTAGAAGAACTGATTTAAACACAAGGATTTAGCCAGAAAACATATTTAAAGGGATAGTTGACCCAAAAGGGGAAATTCTGTCATTAATTACTCGCCCTCATGTCGTTCCAAACCCGTAACAGATTTCTATCTTTCCATTCAAAGCTATGCAACTACCACTTTGACGCATCAAAAAGTTCATAAAGAGATTGGAAAACGAATCCATAAAGAATTTACAGTAGCCGTTTAGTCCAAATTTTCTGAAGGGACACGATCGCTTCATATGATGAAAAGATTTAAAGGAATAGTTCACTTTTGCTGATAATTTACTCACCCCCATGTCATCCAAGATGTCCATGTCTTTCTTTCTTCAGTCGAAAAGAAATTAAGGGTTTTTTCCAGGATTTTCTCCATATAATGGACTTCAATGGGGTCCAAACGGTTCAAGGTCCAAATGAGAGTTTCAGTGCAGCTTCAAAGGGCTTTAAACGACACCAGACGATGAATAAGGGTCTTATCTAGGATCCTTCGAGTCAAAGATTTGTTCATTTTGATGAACGAGTTTGAACAGAAGAATCACGAATGCTCATCACAGAACAGAGCAAGGCGAGCATTTGTGCTTATAAAACTTAAACATTTTTATTTATTTTTGAAATTACTGATCGTTTCGCTAGATAAGACCCTTATTCATCGTCTGGTGTCGTTTAAAGCCTCACTTGAAACTCTCACTTGGACCTTGAACCGTTTGGACCCCATTGAAGTCCATTATATGGAGAAAATCCTGGAATGTTTTTAATCAAAAACCTTAATTTCTTTTCGACTGAAGAAAGAAAGACGTGGACATCTTGGATGACATGGGGGTGAGTGAATTATCAGCGAAAGTGTGCCTTTGTACCCTACATGTAAAAGTAATTAATCCACAGAGATGATGAGATATGTGGACATGCCATGTGTTACTTACATGAGGACTGGTCTGCTTGTGGGAACTTGGACACTGAGTTTTGAAGGTTTGTGAGCTTGGATTTCATAATCCGAAGCCCTTCGGTGAATCGGATCTCCTGTCCTTTAAGAAACTTCTCCATTTGACGCAGGATGCCCATCACTCGGTGCTTATCCATGCAACCCTGAGGCACAAAAGTGCACGAGTTAAGAAACCATCCGAGCACCTGGTTACAATTTGATGGCAAGCAGTTATCCCGAAATTACAGAACACAAGCTCATATGGAGGAGATATTGGACATCTAAAACGATCGCAAGGAACATTCCCACTAAACGTTAGTTTGTATGGAAATGAAAAATGGCACACATGAATTATCAAGGCCAGATGTTGTGGGTGTGATGTCATGGGGACTCCTGTGGGGCATGACATGAAAGCTCAGGCCGCATCGGTGTGCCACCGACACACAACCAAGTCCCCTTAGAAACACAAATATTACTCCAGCAACGATTTATCGAAGCGATGTTGTCCCAGATGCATTTGGACCGTGTGTTCGGTCAGTGGGCAACCTCTAAGGTCCTCTCCAGGAACCACATGTAAGCGTCTAATACTCTTTTTCTCTTCGGCGGCTTGATGGCAGCTGCACAAAAAGCTGTTAGGCAGATGTCTCTGCGACCTCTGTCCAAAAGGCTGGTCTCCTGACTGTTATTCATGGCAGTTAAATACAGACTCGTTAGAGGAGAGAGGAAATGTATTGCCCTTAAATTTCACTAAGCATTTGCCATGGTAAACAAAGACTGTGCTAATCTGGATCAAACGCAAAAATGCATCTGACATATTTAATGGTACAACTGTCTCCTGTACTGGTTTCAAAAACTTTTATGGGCACACTTAAAATGTCTGAATGTCATTGCACTAGATTAGAGAAATTTATTTGCTATATTGTTTGTTATATTTTTGCGAACTAACGTTATACCTGTGGTAATGACTTCATAGATCCACTAAAAAAATAATTTCAAGACACTGAGCAAAAAATGATAAAGGAAAGTAAAGTTACAGAATTTGAGCACAGATGATACTAAATATTTAGTTTTTATTTTTAAGTGCGATTTAAGTGTCCAAATGCTTTGATAACTAACATAAATGACATAAATAAACATAAATAAATGTAGGGGTGAATTCAGGTTGATTGGGACACTTTACCAGTCATCTCATTGGCATATTCACCCCATACATACAGTAGCCTACTGTATATGCCTTGTCAAATGTTTTTAATTGAGATTACCAACATTTTTGCAACATTACATACATTATATTAGGCTTTATTTATAAAAAATAAAATTAATTAATTGTGTTATAGAAATATGAATCAAAATATTAATTGAATATACGAGTATACTTACTTGCGTTGCATCATTACAGTTGCACAGCGATAAGAGGTTTAGCAGGAGAAAAACTGTGTATGATAAATTCATCCTCTTGTATCCGAGTCTATCTATGTAAAACCGCAGAATTGTCGACTTGTGTCGGTTGTTTTTAATCCTCAAGAGTCTTTACGGTTCCTGCGCAGTCTCAGTCTGATAGTCATTGAAACAAGCCTGAGAGGAAATATTTGATAAACGGTTGCAGAAGTTAGTAAAGATGCTCCTGTTCTCCTCATGAAGACTCCACTGAGCGCCTGAGGAGTCGTGATGTCTGATTCGCGAATCGATTCTTTTAAATGATTCGTTTGAACCGATGCGCTAAACGTGGATTCCTCTGTGAGCGCAACTTTCATCTATGCATCAAAATGTCACTATGTTAACTATAACTGTAATACTGTGCAGATACAGACATAAAACATATGTGAGGCCATTTGTCTCTTAAATCTTCTACATTTTTAAAGGTAGAGAAGTTGAATGTATGACATGTCAGATTTTTTGGGTTTTGCTGCCACCGGATGTTTAGAGTGGGTCTTGCACAGCAAATATTGAATTTTTTTTTATTTTTTTATTTTTTTCATTTAATAATGACCAAAGGATATGCAAACACCGATTTACAGAATAAAGATTAAAATTAAACATGAAGTAGGCCTAAAAAATAATTGAAAGATCCTCGAATAGATTACCTAAATCAATGAGTTAATAAGATTAACATGCAGTTTTTCAAAAAACATCATAATTGAGAATTCCATTTTCTTCTTAAAATCAGGACAGATGTCATGATGCCCAACAGGACCCCGAGAGGTAGTGAACAAGCCCAGTAGAGATGTGGTGTGTGTGCAGCTGAAAACTCAGGCCCTTGAGGAAAAGAGAGGAAGGTGTGTATTATGAAGGCAATATATTACTTTTTTAAATGCAATTTGTATTTCATCATAAAAAAGTGAATGAACTCACTCCATGCTTTAATTGTGGGTTCAGCCATACTACAGTGTCTCACTTCACATGTGTACTCGTCTCCAGTCCGCGGGGTGATAGTCATGTACTTGTACACTCTGAAGGTCCAGTCTTTGCTATACATTAAGTCAGAGGTCTCTACCTTTACAATTGACTTATGGCCATTTTGAAAAAAGTTTATTTCAATGTCACCAGGGTAAAACCCCGTGGCATAGCAGTAAAGGACATTTGCTTTTCCTTCTTCCTCAGGAAACTCAGTATACACATTGACCGAAGGGCGTACTGTGGACAAACAATATCATTAGTGATTCACTTATTGCAAAATTACTTATAAGTGGTGAATGGTGATCATTAAATTTACCCAAAAGTGGCTTTGATGAGTTTGTTTCCTCTTTGAGTTTTTCCAGGTATTCAGCTTGTCGATAGAATCCCTTTGTCACCTCGCCCAGGCAAAAAATGCTATCCCGCTTCTCTAAAACAGAAAATCCGGCGCTGGCACTGGGGCGTAGGGCAAACGTTTTATTCTCTTGGTCAAAGTATGCAAATATGCTGTCATTCACCAAAACAACAACTGCCTGATCCATGGACCCGTTTCCCATCATGCGAGTATAGGCCAGGACATTTACTGTATGGTAGTCTAAAAAAAGAGAGAGAGAGAGACAGTACTGATAAGGAATTAATGCGTTTTTTTATTTATAAATATGCATTTCTGTTAGGACCACTATGGTCAAAGATGATTGACAGAGAGCATACAGTTTAGTGGTATGGTTCTGTTCAGGGCAAGAGCAGGGAGCGCAAACAAAACAGAACCAGCATGTATTGCAGATATCATTCCCAATGACAATAATTTAATGTGGTAACATTACAACATAAATCAAGTAAAAAGAATTCCTGACAGGACGAGAGGATAAGGAGCTGGTTTATTCAATCTTGGGAAAATCTTATTAAAGCCAAAATTATATTTAGCGTCCCAGTTCCAACCATATAAACATTCACCATCGCCATCATTTAACGGACGTAGGCTGTGCGTGTAAACCTCACTCCCTTGGCCCCAAGAGCACCTGTCTTTAGCATGCTTGTTAGTCCAGTTCGAGTCGAGTACCTGTTACAGATAGTGGAATTTCAGTCAAATACAGGCTGTTTTCGCTGTGTAGGTTATAATTAGAGCCAGACCGATATATCGGCAGGCCGATATTATCGGCCGATATTAGGCATTTTCCAAACTATCGGTATCAGCAGTTATAATGGCCGATAAATGAATATTTCAAAAATAAAAACGGACGAAACATGCTTGAACCATGTCATGAGTGTTGGAGTTTTATAGTTTGTCCACCAGAGGGCACTCTACACCGTTCCTGTTGGCAACACTCGTTGAGTTGGGCACGATACATACATTGCTTGAATAACAATTAAAAGAGCATCCCCATCAGTTCTCTCAACTCAAATAAGCATAACAAAATTTGGGACTATCATGTCCAGTTTTGCTGTTAAATAAGCCGAGAGTGAAGCGGAATCAGCTAGTAATAGTTACGTTACGTTATTACAGTGTAGTTGACTGACTGTCCTTTAAACTTTTGACAATGTGACTGAAGTATTTCTTTAATAGCGCGTGACAGTTATAGCAATGAGACGTATCATCTCTCCTTGGCCTGTTATATTGAAAATTTACAATTTGCAGTATGACGTTATCCATCGATAAATTATAACTCATCATAGACTAGCTAAGCACAAAGCTAGCTAATGTGATTATCATCAGTCTGTTCTGTTGTGACAATATAAAATGCTTTATCATATTATTTTAGTTAAAACTCATAAATAACTACAAATAACTAATGTTAGGGAAATCTGTTAATGTTTTGTTGCGCGTTTCGGAATAAAAAAATAAATAAAACAAATATCGGCCGATATATCGGATTTTAAAACCAACAAATATTTGTATCGGTATCGGCCTTCAAAATCCTTTATCGGTCGCGCTCTAGTTATAATACAAACAATACGCTTCAAATGATTTTTCATGTGTGTAAATGCACTATACTGTTAGTGTTGCATCCTAGGACGTTTTAATATTTTTTGTTTGTGTCATGTATGCAAGGAGTGGTAGTGGGCTTTGTCTCTCTCTCTCTTTCAGGATCCTATCGACAAGACAAGGTGACGTAACGGTTGTGGAAAAAAACAAATAAAGAATAGCAGTCACAGCAACTATCGGCAACTGTAACCGGACCAACAAACACTTTTTTAGAAACGGATTAAACTTAGCCTATATAGGTACATATAAAGATTGTCTGACAGTAAAAATGAAAAGAAACCGTTACGAATCACTTACCTGTCCACATTGTGATGATCTGTGGATACAGCAGAAGAGTTAACACAGATGATCGGACAGTTAATATTTCCATGTTTGCCATTTTAAGACTCGTATTTAAAGATCTAAACTTCTTTGCTGTTGTTCTGTTGACTATAAATAGTGGTCCTATGCTTCATCACATGGTTTCCCCCAACTACTGTAGTGTACACACTTTCACTTTTGTAGGCTACTTCCTGTGGTATCATTTCAAAGAATTTGTTTTTTCACTTTCACATTTTACATAATGTAATTGTGGACAGTCAGAGCAAAATGCTGGCTTTTCTCCTCATTTTGGCTTTTCGTGAAATCATTCTTGGTGCAGGTAGGACTGTCCTTAGAGGATTACCCTTTTTGACAATATACTTTATAGATGTCTACACTGTAAAAAAAATATTTGCAAGATTTGTTATCACAACATATTTTCTTTTGTCAAATCAACTTTATAATGATTAATTTAGTTGAGATAACTTATTATTTTGAGATTCTGATGGTTAAATTAATCTACTTCATTGTATTAACTCACTTTTTCCAGTTCAATCAACTTAAAATTTTAAGGCACCCCAGGTTACTTACTTTTTTAAGTTAAACCAACAATATTTTTTACAGTGTAGTAATCACAAAATTTTTTCTTTTGTCAAATCAACTTAAATAATTTATTTAGTTCAGATAACTTATTAGTTTGAGTTTCTGATGGTTAAATTAATCTCCTTCATTGTAGTAACTCACTTTTTCCAGTTCAATGAACTTAAAATTTTAAGGCAACCAGGTTACTTACTTTTTTAAGTTAAACCATCAATTTTTTTTTGCTTTTACTTGCAATTTACTTGCTTGTAGCATCTGTCAATTGGTCAATTGGCTATATGGGGAAATAAAATAAAGGAAGAAACTTTATTTGGACGTTGAATTTGGATTCATGTGCAATGCATTTGTGAAGGGAAGAAATAAATGTATGTCAATAATCTGACAATGCTGATATCTGCCATAGATTTTATAGCAACATAACCTTGGTCCAACAGATGTAATTCCTCTAAATGATGTCAGAAAGGTTGAACCATTATATTATAGCCATTATACCACTTTGAGAACGAACCAGTATCAATGTTCTGTGCATATTTTCATTTGAAATAATTGACTATAAATGACTACAATAATTGACAACAATAACTAGTTGATGTTATTGTTTTCCTTTAGAAGAACATGCATACCAGCAGTTCATTGAGTGCGCTTTCGACAGTCAAGGGCAAGTAGACCATACATGGAGCTATGGGTATGATGGGAAAGACATCATGCATGTGGATTTGGTGAAGAAAGCTGTGGTTGCTACCAGTGAACCTGGTAAAATGTTAGAAGAAGAGAGAAAACATGTGGAATACATTAAGAAGAAAGAAGAAAGACTAAAGATGGTGTGCTCTGCTGTGAAAACTGTCTTCTTAAAGTCCAACAATTCTCTATCTAGGGCAGGTACATTTAAACAAAGCAACCCTCATTGTCCTCTTATATTTATACATACATTTCAAAATTTCAACATGACAATTGATTTGCATAAAGTGTTACTTGTTTTTTCCCCCTTCAATGTAGCAAAACCAGCAGTGGTTTTATCTGCTGGAGGAGAACAGGATCAGAAATATCTTAAATGTGTTGTGCATGGCTTCTATCCGAATGTCATCCGAGTGCGTTGGACCCGAAAAGGAAGGCCGGTCTATTTTGGTGTATCAAGTACTGGAATACTCCCGCACAGAGATGGCACGTTTCAGATGACCTCCTATCTTAGCCTTATTAAGATGAGTGCTCACGATGTTACCTGTGAGACTCAACACTTAAGCCTGGATGGGATATTGAGAAAAACCTATGGTAAGTGATTCAGAAGGGCATAAATAATTCATAGGAGCATTGTGATCAATTATGTGAAAACTCAAATGACTTGCTTTGTCTCTTTGTTTCAGAGGAGAAATCACAAATCACAGAACATGTACTTTGGGCAATGGCTGCCTTTTTTCTCGGATTTACATTGCCGGTGTTTCCAACTTTAGTGATATTGATAATGACAAAACCACCTGAAGACACAAGTGACAGATCAGAAGCATCTTTATCTTTGAATTCAATGAATATGTCTCAGGAAACATAAAATATATAAGGCTAGTGTGACTCCAAACGAAATATTAGGCCTATTTATTATTATTTTGGCCACAGAAGATATGCTTTATTTTCTAATTCTATACAATTGAATCACAAGCATAGTGTACACATCATTTCTGTATCTATAAGCAATGAAAGTTTATGCTAGAGATTTGCTACTATGTTGTGATGCTTGAGATTGTTGATTTCTTTTTAAAAAGTACTTCACAATATTGTAATTAGCTATGGAAGCTTGCAGTCATTCATTTACACACAATAGACCGGTTATTTATGGCAAATGCTGCATATAGTACTTTGGTATTGCTATAGGAATGTAAGTTATACCTTAAATCTTTTAAGCCTTTGTCATGTTTTTTTCTAAGCCTTTTTAACTCCGATCTTATGATTTGCACCTCATACCGTCGTATTAAATATTAGTCTTTAAATTTAGGCTATGTATGTGTGTATTTATTTGTTTTCTTGTTTATTAAACTCCACAACATGTGCAGGGGCTAAGTATATTGGAATACTTCAGAAAATTAATTGTTAAAATGATAAAAACGGAACCGTTAACAAAGTCATAAACATCAGAACATAAATAGTGCGTCATACTAACATGTACGCCGTGAGCAAAATGATTGGCATCTCCCACAACCAATAGATCGACAGAAAATTACCCTCGCACTTAGGCGCCAGTGCTCCAACCAATAGTAGAGCCAGACAATACAGATTCGCAACGGTGGAAAGGCCAGTGATTGGCTCCGAACACAAACTGGGCGGGGCCACTAGCTGCTGCAAGATCCTTGCAGCCATTTTCACGAAAGTGTTGCGGCCGCCATGACTGTGGAAGATCCCGAAAAAACCTTCGATTATAAACACTATATTCTGCGTCTGCAGTCTCGCACCAGGTCATCTGTGAAACCGCCGGGGACATAAACAAAGCTGAGGGTATCAAAGCTGTGTTGAGACAGCGTTAAACATGAGACCGGATATAATGTCTGTTAAGCGTCTCATGTGTTGTTGAGACGTGTAAACCGTGAGTTTTTCTCCAGACTGTCAGTATATCAAAACCTTCAGCCAACGAGTGACTGATGCTCCTAACTCTGGTTGCGGAGAAGGGCCAGTTGCGTTTCTAACCATCATGGCTTTTGTGAGCCTCTTCTCCAGTCCCCCAAGCCCCGCACTTGCCAAAAACATGACAGACTGTGAGCTGACAGGGGAAGAAAGGTCGAGTAAACATGTTCTTATCTGCAAATGCTTCACTGTGCAGGTTCATGTGTGTGAATGTGAATCTTTTGGCACCTATCATGTTTTTTTTTTTCAACGGCAAGTCTTCGTTTTCGTTTTTTGGACAGGCCTTTCCCCCTAGTTCACTAAGTAGTGGTCATATTTTCCTGCATGCACTTTCATTTTCATATTGGTTACAGAGGAAAGCAAGTGACACTGCTCATCTTTGTCAGTTTGCATTGTTTACCCCCATTTGGTATGCACTCTTATCTAGTTGATTTGAAGGACATTTGGGGTTTTGTAGAAGGCTGTAGCTGGTTATTATTACAGTAATGTTAAAGTCGTTTCAAAGCTGTTGAATATGTAAATGGCTATTTTGCCCCGCCCACTCACGTACATTCGCCCCGCCCACCTGGGAAAGGAAAACATGTCTGGTAGGGATTTGTGGCAGGACAGTTGTGGCTTTGTAAGCCATGCGTTGAGCTGTTGTAATCGTAAACCAGGTCAGGTTGACAGAGTCTGACATAAGTTTATCTGCCCATTGTTAATTTGACATGAAAACTGGCCCAATTTATTTTCTTTAATGCATTCATGGTTTTATTGAGCAACATTCATCATCACACTGTTTATAACATCACACTGCGTGTTGTCCATATTTGTCAAATTGTTAGAAATTGTTGAATCAGTTCATTGAAACAAACATTCACATCCCAATTTGTTTTAATCCAACAAGAGTTTGCTTCACCATTAATGTTGCAATAGGCATTTATGAGGATAGTTTATGCAACTCTGGAATTATCCAAGGTTTATTTTCTTTCATGCATTCCTGAAGTTATCGTGCAAGATCCATCACAATTTTTATAACTCTGTGTTGCCCATTTTTGTCAAATTTCATTTGCATGATTGATGTTAAATCAATTTTTTGAAATTGTCATGTTTTTGAACTCCTAGAAAAAAATAAATATTAAGTCATGTAACATAACATTCCCCCCCTCCCTACTTATCTACAGCATTTTGGAGAATTTTTTGTCCTAAATAGTTTCTGACACTGATTCATATGCATTTATATCCTATTAATATAATTGCACTTCAGTTGCAAATATGGCCAACCCAACAGTGATATAGCATGCATTATTGAATAAAGAGATTGCTGGCTTGGCCTTCACAGGATCCACATGCAAAAACATTTCAATTCCAAACCATGCCAGCTATCTTTACAGCATTGTAGCACCTCTGTGTGTGAATTACATGCATTTAATTTCCATCTAAATTTAGCCATGAGATCATTGGTCATATTTTTAATATTGAAGAATATGTTTTAAATATTGTAATCATTGAGTTTTGCTTCCATTTCCCCTTGTTTTTGCCATCCAAGTTCAGCACAGAAGACACCCAAGTTTGTCATCAAACCACTAATCTCATGTACATAGTGACCACATCCTCCTGTTTGCAAACGTGTAGAAACATTTTCTCGTTGGGTTTGTAAACACACTAAGGGCCATTTTTTTGCATGTTCAATGCTAAGTCACTATGTAAAGTCCATTTATTTCGCTGTAATACCCAGGCATGTAAAAATCCAATAGATCTTGGTTTCTTTCTACTTTGTCTAAAACTGAGAGACCTTCAGCCTCAGTGTTATCGTGTCCTTGTTCTCGCGCCAGACTTTAATGCTGAGAAAATGTTGTGAATTTGACAACTGGCTAAACAAACATTCACTCATTTTTGTTTTAATTTAAAAAGAGTTTTCCATTGTTGCATTATTTATATATATATATATATATATATATATATATATATATATATGAAGAGTTCAGATGCAAAAGCCTCTAAATGCCATTTGAAATTTTCTTCTTTAATGATGATTTTTATCAAACTTGTATATTTAAGTTCAGTAATTTCATTTAAATAACAATTAATAGGTAATTATCATTGCCATTTAAGTGAAATCACTGAACTTAAATATACAAGTTTGATAAAAATCATCATTAAAGAAGAAAATTTCAAATGGCATTTAGAGGCTTTTGCATCTGAACTCTTCATATATATATATATATATATATATATATATATATATAATTATGATGAAAAGCAAAGCAAATTGTAATGTTCATATCTAGCCTATGATCTTTACAATATAATTTATTGTATAATGTTAATTTGTTAATTAATTTGTGTATAATGTTGTTTTTAGTTATTTTTCCTTTTAGATTTACTATGTAAAGATTTTATGTACTGATAAAAACGAGTGTTGTTGCCCAAGCAAAACTGAACGACACTATACTATTGTGTTTTGGGTGTTTGCCAGTGCATTGCTATGCAGTTTCTAGGATGTTCTTGAGGTTGCTAGAGCATTGTGGGTGGATGCTTTTTGGCATTATTCTTTAATACTTCATAACAAACTCCTAACTGAGTATGCACATTAATAATAGTGTTTTTATGGAAACAATGGAGACTGTTTTGCCTAGAATGTTTATTTATTTCACTGATTTGATCCTTTTTTTTAATGAAATGCTCAAACTTTTGTTTACAGGGAGGATGGTGAATTGGAGGATGGAGAAATTGATGATGAAGGCATAAGCATAGAAGAAGTAAAGGAAACTAAGGAAGAGTCTGAAGCGGTCGAGAAAGACAAAGAGAAGGTAAAAGACGAGAAGTCACACCGGCATTCGCGAAAGCGACACAGGAAAATAAAAGAAAAGCGACGGTTGAAGAGGAGGAGACGAGACCGACAAAAGGTAATCCTATCTATCATTGCATTTTGCTTTTTTAAAAAAAAATTTTTTTGTTTGTTTTAGTGCTGTCAAACGATTGAAATATTTAGTCGCGTTAATGTCATAGTTAACTCGCGATTAATCGCAATTCATGGCACATTTTTATCTATTCTAAATGTCTTTTCATTTAATTTTGTTCCGTTACTTTTTCTTATTTTAATGCTCTTATCAACATGGAAAAGTGGATCGGCTTGCGTTGTTGAAAACATCATTGGCATATACTGTGTTCAAATTCACACTTTCTCACTTGGAATAAATACTCTCTCACACAATTTAACACTGTCCATCAATAAAAGGGTGAAAGAAATACTGATGAGGTCCTGATATTGAGAAGTCGCATCCGCTGTGTGTGTGTATGTGCTTGGCCATCATTAAGCGGTATTTGACTGGACGTGCTGCGATGATGATAGCTCAGTTCACAACGACAAAACACACAAATCACTTTGGTCTTGTCAATGGAACCATTTGGCAACTTTTTAAAAGTGAACTTTCCATTCAGAATCGTATTGGCATCCATTTTGGCGTCTTGCGCTCGTCATCCACTCAAAACGTAACGTTAACCTACTATTTGGCCCGCTCGCAAGCCCAATCAAGTTGTTTTGTTTCTGGTCTAGCTAGATCCGCTTGCACGCTTTGGTCGACGTAGCTAGCCATCGAAATAAATGGGTTTCAGAGCGCAGTGCCACGCATTAGAGCCCGACCGATAAAGGATTTTGAAGGCCGATACCGATACAAATATTTTTGGGTTTTAAAATCCGATATTCCGATATATCGGCCGATATTTTTATTTTTTTATTTTTTTCAGAAACGTGCAACAAAACATTAACAGATTTCCCTGACATTAGTTATTTGTAGTTATTTATGAGTTTTAACTAAAAAAAAATGATAAAGCATTTTAAAAAGAAACTTGTTTCTATTATTGTCACAACAGAATAGAGGAACATCAAAATGTAGTAAAGTTCTGATAAATAAAATAATAATTAGTCCCTACAATAAGCTACCTTATAATTACAATGTCAGCTTGCTTATCCCTTTACCTGCACTTTTTAAATTCTTTCCATCAAGCTACATCAAACCATTTTCAATCATCGGTTGCTGCCCGCCTTCTAAAACCTACTATTTGGCGATTCTAATCTAAATCCATTACAGAACGACAGTCTGCAACGCACACTTGGCGTCGTTGGATTTCACACACGTGTAAAAGAAAAGCTAACTTTTATGCACAAGATACGTTTGATACTTTTTCTCTATATCTAAATGTTCACTCCTCGCAAGTATAACTTACATTGTACAATACAAAGTTCATTGTGGTTTCCAAGCTTATTAATGTTAACGTTAGCGTTCTTCCACTGATGATAGTGGTATTAGCTAGCTTTGTGGTTAGCTAGTCTATGATGAGCCATAATTTAGCAATAGATAACATCATACTGCAAATTGTAAAGCATACATTTTCAATATAACTGGCCAAGGAGAGATGATTGAAGCGTGTTTCGTCCATTTTTGAAATATTAATTTATCGGCCATTATAACTGCCGATACCGATATTTTGGAAAATGCCTAATATCGGCCAGCCGATATATTGGTCTGGCTCTACCACGTATGCCGCATCCTGTTTCAAAAGCATGTGAAAAAACGACAAAGTTTGCCTGGCCGATAAAAAAATGAACGCTGTTAAAATGGGTTTGATTTAACACCATTAATAATGCGTTAAACTGGCAGCCCTAGTTTTTCCCTTTTTTTTAATGCTTTTCTTCCCCAATGTTTTCCAATTTCAGCATCACTCTCCATCCAGTGGCTCCAGCTCGGACAGCTATGACTCTGAGCATGAGCACCAAGAAAGACCTAAGAGCAAGAAGAGCAAAGGGACATATCGTGACCATGACTCCGAGTTGGCTCAGGTGAGTTCAGGGTTTTGGGATACTGAATTTCAAATTTCATCATCATCCCGCTCAATTAATTTCTCTTTCTACCTATGATGCTAGCGGGAAAATGAACCTGTTAAACCACCGAGATCAATGCAGCACAAAAACAGCGATCTGGACAAATACAGTGACTACAGTGAAGAAAAATATGACTATGATGACGAGGATGATTTCTCTGAGGAGTTGTCTAAATACAAACATGCTAAGGAGTCATCTGGTCGTGGCAGAGGAGGGCCACCAAGGGACCAGGCCAAGAGACCAATTATGAAGGGACAACAACAGCAGTGTATGTTTGTTTACTTCAAAATATTATAGAGGTCTGCTTTGAAATTCATTTGAAGACTGAACCCACAATCTTCTGTCTTTTTCTTTTACTTGTTATATAGTTGGTGGGCAACGTGGTAGAGGTCGTGGTGCGCTTGGCAGGGGCGAGGAATGCCCAACAAAAAATAAGAAACAAAAGGGCAAGAACTGGGGCCGAGGCCGTGGTCGAGGAGGAGAGCAGGGTGGAGGAGACATGGTGAGAATTTAGGATCACCATTTTTTCACCATTAGGATCTCAGAGCACTCTTTTTATATGTTGTCATATATTTTGTAGCAGGAATCTAAAAGTCCGCCCAGTTTCCAGAAGAAGCGTCCAATCATGAGCCAGGAATTCATTAATCAACATACGGTTGAACACAATGGGAGGCACATTTGTAAATATTTCCTTGAGGATCGATGCATCAAAGTAAGCTATTACAAAACTATATCACATGTATAAACATTTCGGTTTAATTAATATTTGTTAAAAATGTAAGATCTTTTATTCATATTTTTTACAGGGGGACCAGTGCAAGTTTGAACATGATCATGTTGTTCCAGAGAAGAAAAAGGAACTGTGCAAATTTTATGTCCAGGGATACTGTACCAAAGGGGATATCTGTATATACATGCACAATATCCTTTCAAAACGAGTTTTTTTTACAGATTACCTGTAAATGAGATAATCTTCACATGTCTTTATGGTTTTGTCTCGTTAGCCAAGCACTGAAGGTGCGTAGGCACCTATTTTAAATCGTTAGAGTTCTTCTTTTTCTTCTGCTATTATGTCTAAGTCTATGGCAGCCCATAGACCCACTTGTTGTAAAGTTATGAAATTTGGCACACAGATAGAGGACAGTCTGAACATTAACCACGACAATTTTATAGTTTCTTAATGCAATCCCTCTAGCGCAAACTGTCCAAAGTTTCACTTACGTTTATGCTAATAACTTTTGCATCGTAAGGGCTTGAAAAAAAAATTACACCAGATCATCTTCAGACCAAGTTGATTTGTCAATCCGTTCTCGAATAATGCGCCAAAGAATTCGACGAAGAGCAAAATTGGACGTGAGGCTATATCTCCTCAACGCTTTAGCGTATTCTGACCAAACTTGGTGTGTGTAATGACAGCCATGACCTAAGTGTACCTGCACAGTTTCGACACAGAGCCACTTAGAGGTAGGGAGATATGAAAAATGTCCATTTTTGCTTATGACTTATGAACGGTTTGGCCAAATATTACATTTTGGGCGTCGGCCATTTTTTACTTTTGTTGTCAAATGCTATATTTTATGTGCACATCGTTACGAAACTCGGTAAGTGGCATCAGCACCATGCCCTGAATTAAAATTATAATGCAATTTCCAAAAATGTTAATAGTTTGTTTAAATTAGCCCTATTGTAATGACATTTCAAAGATACAAATGTTGTCATAGTCAGATGAACTTCCTGTCCGCCATTTAGATTTTCTTTAAAACCTACTTTTTAAAGACCATCTGTCCGATTTTCACAAAATAGACGAAATGAGTCTGTGTCTCTGCAATGCTTTGGCATATTGACACCAAACTTTGCATGTGTCATTATGACCTTACTCTAACCACAACTCATCAATTTGGTCAAAGTCTCACCTTTAAATTATATACCAGTGACAGTTTTTTCAGCCATTTTGCCTTAAATTATCTTAATATGTCTTGTCATTGTTACCGTTGGTCTGATGCTGGCATGACTTACCGTGACTTCTTTGTGCTTGGGCCTTTTAATTTATGCTTGCAGCTTTATTATTTCCTTGTTTTGGACCTTGACCCTAAAGTGTATGTGAGTATCCTTGCAAGTTCTTTCACACCGGAGCAAAGTGTTATCAAGGAGATAACTGCAAGTTTTCCCATGAGCCTTTAACCGATGTTACCAAGGAACTTTTGGACAAGGTATGGGCTTAACATTCAGTTTACATGCACTTTATGCATGTTTAAAATGCACTGATTCCAGATCATTTTAAGTAACCTGGGATAATGTGCTTTGCTCAGCTATGCAATGGGAATAAAAAAATGTGTTCTCAGCAACTCTCCAGTTCCAGACTCGAAATTATGTTTTTTTAGCACTTTATATGCAGTCCAGTGCCAAGATGCATAAACAGCCAATATGTTAAGACTGTGTCTTAAGAACTAGTCTGACCAACAAGGGGTAACAAGTCTAACTTTTCAGATTCAAATTAGATCAATTTACTTTTTTAGGTAACTTACAGGGAACAATTACATGACTTGTAAGTGTAGTGCAAGCAATATATGACACCAGCCACATGTATGGAAATATCAATCTCACATCTAGCTAATTTTTAAAATATTTTTAATAGAAATATTTTGTAACAAATAAAGCATGCAATGGATACCTGACTGATGTTGCACATTTTAGATCCTAAATACAGATGAGGAAACTGTCAATGAAGATGAGATGGAGTTAGCAGATCTGAGAAAAACAAGAATGCCCCCATTGCCTAAACCCCCTCCCGGAGTGGGATTGTTGCCGACCCCTGGGCCTGGAAGTCCCCCGGATGGAGGAAAGAAGATCCCCTCTCTGTTTGAGATCAAAGTTCAGCCTACTGTGGACTTGGCACAGAAGATTGCTCTAAGGTACCTTTGGCATTTGCATCCAGAAATTTTGGTCGAGATTGGTCTGTTTACATCTGATATAACCATAATGAATAGTGGATTCCCATCTACGTTTTTGCAAGTCAAACGACTTTAAAATTGAGAATTGTTGTTGGCTTGATGAATTACTTATTCAAAATGCTAGAAAAGTAAAGTTCACAAACTTTTTCCTTCCAATAGTCCAAATGAAATACGGTCATCACTCTAGTTATGATATTATATATTTTTATATATAATTTCTACAACAGTGCGTCTCCCCCTGCTGGACAGTTTCAAGGTGTCCACAGTTTGGAAAGTAGCCCTGAGGATATGCAAACTGGGAATATGATGTCTTCTCCACCCAATCCTTCCCATCCCCCTCAGCCGGGCTCCATAAGGAGCCCTCCCCTACCGTTCACAGGTCCAGGAATGCCCCAAAGTCCCTCCAGGCCAAACCTCCACCCCCAAGGCTTTGGTCAGTGCTCTCCAATGCCACCTCCAGGCCAGCCGCCTCCTTTCCACGTCAACATGCAGCACATGAACCATCCTCCATTGAATCACCAGGGTCTCCATTTCAACCTGTGCCTGACATGCAAATTGAAAATGCCTTTCCCAAACATGGGCCAGATGCCCTCCGAGTTCTCAAGAACTTGTTTAGCAGTCAGTCTCTGGCCCAAGGAGGTAGGTCTTCATTTAGCTTTAAAAATTTGTTTCCATTAATAGATCCTTCTAAAGCTTGATATTTATGAACTGCCCTATTTCTGTTGCACCTACAGACGAGGGACCCATCCAGGACTCCCAGCCACATTGGTAACACTAATTCCAGTGGGATGCAGGACTTCCTGCCAGCTGTACAGAAGGTTTTGCTTTTACATCTAAACCAGAACAAGCAAGACTCCGACTCCCATAGGGACGAGGGATGTGGACAAGGGTCTGCACCTCCCAACAGAGAGAAAGGTTAGAGAGGGATGTTGAAAAATAAACAATGTGCAACAATATTGCTTTAACTTTGAACAATGGCGTGCTGCAGGAATGAGTTCGGAAAATGGGAAAAAAACGTTTTTTTACTTCTGGTTCCGTCGTCCTGAAGTCAAAGCGTTTTTGGTTAAATGTTTTAAAATAAGGTCTGTGGTTAACACAAGCTAAGATATTTCAGGTGGCCGCGGGTCATTAAAAGTATTAAAAATTAAATCAATTTTCCTAAAAATAAGGCTTAAAAAGTATTAAATTGTCTTAAATTCAGATTAGATAGGTTTAAATATGTTAGTCATGTCACCGCAAAGATGCAGGCA